AAAACTAATAGCATACATTAGCTGTTAAACACTTTTTATGTGTCTCAAGTAATGCAAAATTTAAGTATACTCTAAATCCTTTTATAAGACAGCACAGACTGATTTCTTTAATCATGACCTGAATGGAAATAGTAAACAAGTGCTGGTCTCATTTAAAATATAGCAACACTATGATCTAGAAAGCCCAGCTGGCCCCTCCTTAGGTTCTGTATGCATGTTATGAAAATAAGTAGTTGAAAGGTGAATGTACAGTCAATTCGCTTGGTCTGCGTAATGTCAGACAATCCAGTTTTTTTCCTTCACTTGAATAGAACACTTTTTTTTTTTTAACTGAATCGACTGTTAGGTTCCTTGTAGACATAGTCTTAGCAAAGAAAACTAAAAAATTGCTTTGGAGGATGAAAATTGTAGCTAGTTACATCTCATAAAACCATTCTTGTGTTCATTTTCTTCAGGAAATTACTGTAAGTGTATCTGCTAGGGCCAATATGGAAGAGACCTTTTTATGCTTAAATAAAAGCTCAGAGAGTTTCCATATCAGAGTTGTTCCATTGACTTGTCTTATTCCCCCCCCCCCAAAAAAGAGAAAACCTTTAGCCAAAGGAAAGCTCACGTTAGTTAAACACTGACGTGATTTGACCTTTTTTTATTTGTTTACATTATGTTTAATACCCATACATGTCTAGTCTTTGTAGACACAAAGAAACACTGTAACATTAGAAATTTCTTTGGTTTTCTAATATATCTTTATATCGAAAGTCCTATTTAAACATAATTCTTTGATTCTATAGAAGAGCCATTTGTCTTTGTATTTACATAAAGATATGTTAGGTTTGCAATACCTGATTCATTTTTTGACCCTAAAATATGAATGACATCATTTGTCCTGCTAGGCAGGAGATTTATTTTAGTAGCAACTCTTTCAGATCAATACATAAATGAGAAAGAAGTAATTGTTTCTGAGTAAACATTTGTTCTATTTTGATTTTTAAGCTAAAATAATTAGAATTCAGCCAGCCAAAAAGAAATTAAATTTGAAATCCAATTCTTGTCAAGAAATTTTGCATGAAGCTATCCAACCTATTGTTTTAGAATTGCTGGGGTAGGAAAGTAGAACGTCGCTTTGGCAAAGGCAGTAGTCGGTATAAGTTGGAGAGCAGAATTGAAGCTCGTCAGGGAGTAACAGGATCTCCTCTGCTTTCTGAACATAGCTACCAGATACGTCCAGGGTAACAGATATGTCAGAAACTGGAGCGAGAAAGGACCTGGAAGCCTATGTCAGTGTCAGTGATATTGTGATCATACAATTTGTTGAGAAATGAGGGAAAAACTAAAGGAGATGTTTTCGAATAGAGCTAAGAAAAAGATAACTATTTTTCAATCCACAGGAAAAAAAATCTGTCTTAAAAATGGGATATGTAATACTTAAAGATTCTATTGAAAGTTTGTGGAAAGTGTGTGTGTGTGTGTGTGTGTGTGTGTAGTAAAACCTGAGGGATTTGGTAAGTGTGCTTTAGGAGTACTGTTCATAATGAAGGAACACAGTTACATTTTAAATAAACCTTTACATTAGGAACACTTCTTTCAGTTTCTTATAAAAAGTACTATAAAATCAGTATTCCTGATGTGTGCATAAAATGCTGCCTTACACATCTGCCATGGGACTTTTCTACACCTGTGGAGAGGGAGCACTATTTTCTGTAAACTGAAAGGCTGTTTTTGGCAGATCTACTCTACTGCTCTGAGTCATTGATGGTTACAGGTTTTATATTTAACCTGAAATGCAAAGTATGTTCTTCCAATGCCTAAGTTGAGTCATTTTGCAAAGTGTAGACAGGTACATTCTGAGTTTTCTTTATCTTGCTACATATACTTGAAAAATAAGGTCAAGTGTTTTTAAGAATGTGTGTGTGTGTGTGTGTCATCAGTTGTCATCAGTTGCATTCTTTTTTCCCTCTACCTGTCTGGAGGGTGCTCTTTATGCACCTTTACCAGTGCTTACTATTATGAGTTTTAATCACAGCAGGAGTTTTTTCATACTACTTTGATGAAAGGTCATACTTACTGGGCTGACTTGTCTATGATTTCTATCTAATAACTTTAGAATATGCTGTACATATTACCAGGGATAAATACAAGTACAGCATTTAGGATTTTTGCGTCAATTCACAAATGAGATTGGCCTGCAAGAACTCCCTTTTTGAGAACACTGCCATGATCTGGTTTTGGTTATTCTAACTGACTGAAATGAATTGGATGGCTTTCATTGCTCTGAAACAATTTACATATATGGGATTTTTCTGTTCCTTAAAAGTAGGAAAGAACTCTGGTGTAGAACTTCTGAGTGAAATGATAAAATGCTATGAATAAAAATAAAGCAAAGTAAGGAGACAGAGTCAGTGGGCCTGCTGGTTCAGATGAAGTGGTTAGAAGAGGTCACTCAAAAGAGCAGAAATCATCATGAAGTGAGGGAGCAAACCATGCAGATATTTTAGAGAGGAAGCAGAAGGGCCAGAGCCATGAGAAGGGGGTATGCTTGGCATATTCAAGGAACAGCAAAGGAGACCAGTGTATCAAGAGCAAGGGTGAGACTGGTAAGATATGAAATCTGAGAGTAGTGAGGGGCCAGTTTATCTGGGGCTTTGTAGTCAAAATTCAACAAAACCTACATCTTTTTTCATTTCTGTTCATCTTAAATTTTGTTCCTTAACCATGTTTTTATCTCATTTTGATTTGACTGCTCATGTAGTATATTTTTATCCTTTCCTTGATAAACGTTTAAGAATATAAATTTTCTTGTAAGTACAGCTTTGCTTGCATCTATAAGGTTCATGATCATCAGCCACGAGACCATCCCCAAGCTACAAGGGATGCTGGGAAAGGGAGGATTTTAATTAGCATGTTGCTGCTCCAGGCAAAAATCAGGATTCTGTTAATAAGGAAGAATGGGAAAATGAATATTGGTTAACTACTAGCAATATCTTTCATAAACTCCTATGGGCATGGGAGATTTTCTTGTAGATTCCCATGTTATACAGATTATTACCAAGCATTGCAAGATGGAAAGATACCCAATTTATTTTATGAGGCTGCCAGAATCTTGTATCAAAACCTGACAAAGATGAGTGAAAAGGAAAATTATAGACCAGTTGAACTTATGAATATAACTGTGAAAAATCAAAATACAAGCATGTCCATTTTTCAGCACACTGAAAGAATCATCCATCATGATCACGTAGGACTCATACTATAAATGTGAGAATGCTTAATATTAGGAAAGCTTTTAATATAATACAGCATATCAAAAGATCCAATAAGAAAAAATAGAATAATCACAATATATAAACATTCGATAAAAGTCAGCCCTCATTTCTGATTAGAAAACCAGTCTTAGGCAGGAAAATTGGAAGGATATTTCTTTAATGAAATAAAGACACCTACCTCCTGTTCTGGTCAGGTTTATTCCAGTTCAGAGGACAAAGATATATTCCGTATACCCCCAGCTTTATCAGTTTGTGACTATAAAATACACTTTTTTAAATTGAAGTATAGTCAGTTACAATGTGTTAGTCTCTGGTGTACAGCATAATGTTTCAGTCATACATATACGTACATATATTCCTTTTCATATTCTTTTTTTGTTTTCATATTCTTTTTCATTATAGGTTACTGCAAGATACTGAATATAGTTCTCTGTGCTGTACAGGATAAACTTATTGTTTATCTATTTTATATATAGTAGTTAGTATTTGCAAATCTTGAACTCCCAATGTATCCTTTCACACCCCATTTCCCTGTTGGTAACCGTAAGGTTGTTCACTGTGCCTGTGAGTCTGTTTCTGTTTTGTATATAAGTTCATTAGTGTCTTTTTTCTTTTCCTTTTTTAGATTCCACATATGAGTGTATCATATGGTATTTTTCTTTCTCTGTCTGACTGACTTCACTTAGAATGGTGATCTCCAGATCCATCCATATTGCTGCAAATGGCATTATTTTATTCTTTTTTATGTCTGAGTAGTATTCCATTGTATAAATATACCACAGCTGCTTTATCCAGTCATCTGTCGATGGACATTTAGATTGTTTCCACAAAATACGTTTTTAAATAATATCTGTAGTAGGATGGTACAAAACCAGAATAACGTACTCTCAGTTACTTCTGGAAGTTTCTCAAAGTATTCTCTTTCATGTGCTGCAGAACATATTCTCCCTCCTTCCTCAGCTCATGTCTCTCTACCTTGCCACCATACAGCTACAATAGCTCTAGTTGGGTAGAGTGCTGGGTGTGCTTGTTCTACACACAGGAAGAAATAGCACCCACTAGTTCCTATTTTTCTATTTGAGAATAAAAATGAGGATACTTCTAATATTGCCTTTGAGCTTTCAGAATTAGATAGTTTTATAAAATACAATTATCTACTCTTTTGTGAAGCATACAATATGGATTTGCTCTAATAATAAGTAGACTAAGGCTTAAGTTTTGAAATCACAATAATGGATGTTTTATATCAGTATTTTTAAGCCTTTTTTTTTTTACTACAACACACAGTAAGAACTTCACATTATACTGTGACCAAGTACACACACACACTTTCTGTACATATGTATCTGCATATATTTTTAAAGTTTCACTGAACTGACCAAGGATCTATGCAATATACTCAGATATTATCTATTCTACTCTACTTCATTAAAAAAGTGATAACCAACCCACCGAGTTGATTTCCTTAAACCATGCTTTCCAGCAGTTTTATGGTTCCGAACAGAGAATGATTCTTTGGATTGTTAAATAAATAAAATGTCTAGAGTTCAAGAATTCAATTTTGGAAGATGACAATGTGTTGTTTTTTTAAAACTATGTTCTAATTTTATTGTAAATATTAACATTTCAGTATTGGCAGGATGCTTTGGGTGCTAGTTGCTAGTTTTTCTTTGATTTCTAAGAGAGTGATAGGATAAGAAAGAATTTTCTAAATGGTGATTTCTTTTCTTCCTGCAGCTCTCATGTATGACTGTAAGTCTAGTGCATCATTAACCCAAGGACCTCACCACTTGGAAGTTACAGTTTTCACCATCAGCTTACCTTATCCTTTTTGGGCCAGTTCTTTTCTTCAAACAGTAAAAGCCTCTTTCTTTCAAGTTGCTTTTGGTGCACAGTTAAGCAAATGGCTGATAGTGGCTTTGGTAAAAAATCAACAAAATGCTCCAAATGTTCATCTACTTCTCAGAAAAATGTACTTTGTGTATGTTCTTGTAAAACAAGGCTTTCTCCAATGTCGGTGGTGGAAATGTCACAGACATCAAGCATTGGTAGCTCAGAATTTCCAGTTTCAGCAGAGAGAAAAAAAGAAAGACAACCCATCAAAGATACTGTCTCTGGAAAAGATTTGGTAAATATTGAAGATTATACATCTCAACACAAGTCGATGTTCCATTTCCTAATCCCATCCCTAGATTCCTCTATATCCCATGGGACCTTGTCAGCTACTCCATTGCCTTCTTGGCTATTAAAGTAACTTTTTTTATTCTTATGTAAGAGGTGAGAAAAGTTGGTTGGTAATTTCTTTTACAACATTTCCAACCACTGCCCAAATTAATGATTTCCCAGGATTATGCAAAAGAACTCTTTTTTATTTTGTTTTGGGGGAAAGGTAATTAGGTTTATTTATTTATTTATTTTTAGAGGTACTGGGGATTGAACCCAGGACCTTGTGTATGCTAAGCATGCACTCTACCACTTGAGCTATTCCCCTCACCACTAAGAGCTTTCCCTGACTAAGAACCTGGCGGTGAAAGTGCCGAATCCTAGCCATTGGACCACCAGGGAGCTCTCCCAGGATTGTGAATAATTCAGAATGTTATTCCAATGTCTTTTAAAAAATGGTTTATAAAGAAATGAATTGGTTTTCAAATTGAATTAAATCTAGATTTGGGGACATTTTATTCAACTGAGGCAAAATGAGATTTATGGTTGTGGTTAAATATACAGTGGTTATTATTTAAGACAGTTCCTGATTATCTAGATGGAATATCAAATATACCTTACAAAATTGATTTGCATTAGTTACAATCTGTGACCACTAGTTGGACTGGTTTGGGTGTATTCACCTTTATAGAGAAGAGGCACTGTGGAAGACTATTGTTAATATAGCACAGCTTTGGAGACAGAGAGCAGTAGGTTTAAGAAAAGTTAGGTTCTTGGCCCTCAAGAACCCCTTTTCCAAATTTTCACCCTAAACTGTTATTTCTGATTTGTGCTGCAGTATAGTTATTGTCATATAGGTATCTCTGAGTGAGTTGTTACTATGTTATTTTCATTCAAGGCATGCTTCGTGAGTGTCTGTCCAGTGATTTTTTGTTTATAACCTATTTAAGATGATTGTTATGTCTTGAAACAAGAGTGATTAAGAAAGCTGTGAAGTTGCCTTCTCTTGTGATTTTAAAGATTTTAAGTTCTAATATATCTGCTAGGCAGGTCATCATGTAGACTTGCCTGAATTCAGGAGATTAGATTGAATAATTTCTTAAGGTCTCTTTTAGTGTAATGAGTGAATAAATTATATAGGGCTTAGAATTTGAAAAAGACAGTAAGCCATTTTATAAACAATAAATATCATGACATACATTAAAGATTTGTCAGATTATCTAAATTAGGGTTTTTACTTTGTCAACAAGTGTATTATATCTTAAAGCTAATTTAAAAATTTCTTTTTGGTCCAAGCCCTCAAGAACCACAGATGTAGAGAGAAAACCATCTCAACAACAATGGAGTCGGAGCAACTTTACAGAAGGGAAAGTTCCTCACATAAGGATGGACGATGGAGCTGCTATTCAGGTATATAGCGAACAAATTGAAGCTACTGGAAAATTTCAGATTTCTTCTAAGTCAATGTTAACGGCAAAAAAATGATTAGGGCATTTTTATTAGAGAAAGTGAGGACATTTTGGTCTCCAGGTCTTGCCTATTGCTGAGGGCTATTGTGGAGTCTTTATATAGACCTATTCAAGATGCAGAGAGAGACCAACTGACTTGAGATGGTTTGGCTGTTCAATTCTTTGATGACTGGTAGGGGGCCAGAATTTCCCGCATAGACCCCTCCATCTTTTTCCAGCTTGTGATTGAATGAATACCAATGTGATTCTTCCCAGGATTCTAATTTTTATATGCAAATATGAAATAAATATTAGTGACATTTTAGAAATTAAAATGTGTTCCTTTAACGTTGGATCAAAGGAATCACAACAAGAAAAACTACGAGAAGAAAACTGCATTAACATTAAATAACTTTAAAAAAATGTTTTGAGATATACTTGGCAATTTACTTGAAGTGGTCAGAAAAACTCCCTGAGAAATTCTGAGCTAAAAAATTTAAATCTCCCCCTTTAAATAGAAGGCCTGTATTAAAAAAAATCCACAAATTTACTGAGTTTTAAATATAGGCATAAGAACTTTTATAAAAGTAAAACATGTTCACTGTGAAAAATTAGGAAAATATTGATAAAAAGTGAAGAAAATAAAAATCATGAGCCAGACATAACCAGTTTTAACATTTATTACCTTTACTTCATTTTTCTATACATGTATAAGTTTTACCCTATTTTTCATTCTCATTTTTTTCCTGTTTTAAATTGTGAAATATGTAAAATATATACATATTTTAAATAAATAACCTTAACTGGTATAATTGAAGTTTCTCTTCCCTCATTAAATGGATAGGTTCATTTTAAAGATATCAAACATTTCAGAAGAGTATAAAAAAGGAAGTTACAGTCATCTAAAATTCTACCACCTAATGATAACTACTCTTAATATTTAAATGGGCATCTTCCCAGACATCAGTGTGAGCACCCCAACATGTGCTCATTGTCATAATCACGCATGTCACGCCCGCGTTCGCACTCTGTAGCGAGGACTTCTTATATGTCAACAAGAAGACATCTACATTACCATTTAACAGCATCCTTTAAAAATTTTACAAGCAAGAAGTCATTTTCTCCTTATTTTCACCACTATGTAATGATGTCAAAGAAGTTTGTTGAAGAAAAAGATCAGCTTATAAAAAACTAGTTGATCATTTGGGCTGTTTTTCTACCCATTCCTCATTTTAGAAATTCTATAAACAGTATTAAAATACTATGTCCAAGTTGTGGTTCTAAACCACAGAGAGATAAAATGAGAGTTTAGTTTTCAAAGGACAAGAAAAAATGGGGGAATGGTTAGGGATTGTTGATATTTTTTGTTCTGTGGGAATTAAAAGTTGAAGTTGAGATTTAACTCATTTTATATAATATATAGTTGGGAGTTACATGTAAATATAATAAAAATAAAATATTTTGTCTTATTTTAATTATCTTAGTTTCCTGACTTTGATTCTCACTGTTAAGCGGTAGTAGGAAGAGGGAAAAGCCAAAAGTAATTACAAATCATTGGAAAGCAGTGTCCTGGGGACAGTCCCCTGGACAAGATGTGCCTTGCAGGAGTCTAGGAGCCCCCATTCACAACATTCAAGAGCAACCTCTGGAGCTTCTCCTCCAGGATTCAACTCCACACACCCAGTCCTTCTCTTCTCTCCATTATGCATATGTATAGAAGGTTCCTGACTGGCTGGGTGCTGGCTGGCTGGATTGATTGATTCAGTTCATTTATCAGTTCACTCTTTCATTCCACATTTGTACTGCTATTCCTTTGAAATGCCTTCCTTGCCTTGACTGGATTATAGAGAAAAAATTCTCAATTATTTTTTTGGCTTTGTTCCCTCACATGCCTGTCTCAGAAGCCATCTCTTTGATAATGTTTTCCCTTATTCTCCCAGTATTTTAGCTCTGGTCTCTGGCCTCAATATCATTTTATGTATTTTTTAACTTAAGACTTTACAACTTAAGTAATAGTCTTGTCTCTTGAATAGGTTACAAATTATGAGGAAACAGGAATTATGTTTTATTCATCTTTGTAGCTCCCAGTGTGTATATATCACAAGGAAATATCTAAGGAAAATCTAACATGTTGAAGCTGAACATTTCTTTCTTCTCTTCTCTTCTTTTTCTCTCTCTCTCATTCCCTCCCTCCTTTGCTCTTTCTCTTTCCCTTTCCTTCTTTCCTTTCTTCCTTCCCCTCCCCATTCCCCCTCTCCCCTCCTTAGTCTCCCCTCCCCTCCCTTTCTTCCTTCTCCCTTTTCCTCCCAAGAACTAAGCATGAGTATTTTGCTGCAAGGTTTCAGGCAGACTTTTTAAAGGATACAAAAGAAACAGCTTCATAAAGTGTTTCTAGACCATCTTGGAAGGAAAAAAAGTGAGCCAAAATCTTTGTAAACAAGAGAGTAATAATAGTGTTTGAGGACCAATGGGTACATGTTGAAGGAAGTCAAAATAAAGGAACAATCACCCCAGAGCAGAGTTAGGCAGAGAAGCCCTTCATGAAGAAGACAAGTAATTAGTTGGGCACTGGATCTTCTTTTACAAAAGTGAGAAAGAATGTAAGCAATAGAAGATATGAAGACTGGCAGTAATTTACTTGTTGCATGGTGAAGATGAAAGAAGTCACATAGGGAGAGCGGAGCATCTCCAAGGCAGGCTTCGGCTGGCTGACCCAACAGAGGCTTCCCTCTGTTGGCATTAGCTCAGGTGTTCTCTCATGTTCTAGTGCCCACACATCATGGGTCCAGAAGCACTTGTTAATGCCCTGGAGTTGGTTTAGACCAAGGAGATTGACTCCCCCAACCAAAGTCACAAGAAATGAAAGTGGAAATTAGTTAACTACTTGTTATTTTACAATGTGAACTAGAATGCTTTGTCAAGACCAGTGGATTCGGTCTGATATGCAGAAGGATCCTTGGTGTGAATAGTGTTACTATGGATGGTTTTTATTTTTTTCTCAGAGCTGATTTATATTAAAATTTTTGTCATGTATTCCTTTTCCTAAAACAAAAGGAAATAAGAACAACAAAATTGATTTTTTAATGGAAATAGTATGTATTGATTTTATGGTATAGCTCTCAGAGTTTTGGGGTAATTTTTTTGGATGAATATATCTTATATACACATACACATATGTTTGTATGTATGTATTAATATTCCATTCTCCATTTTTCTTATGAAGACATTTCATTAATATTTTAGTTTGGAAGAGGTTCATTTTATACTTTTGGCATTTTTCACATTTCCTCATTAGGATTTTTGTGGTTTTCCTCCAAAGGATATTTTATGAAATTCATCAAAACTAATTTTTTTTAAACTAAGATATGTTTATTGTAATACTGAAGCAAATATGTGGTGTCTTCTATTTGATTTTACCCTGGAGCAGAATCACTCTTCCCTTGGTTGGATACCTGTCAGCATTATGTGTTCATTTGTAATACCTGTTGAATGACAGAGAGAAACAAAGAAACTCTTATTTTTTATCCAGGAAATCTATACCTTTGGAAGAATATTGGGACAAGGGAGCTTTGGAATGGTCATTGAAGCTATAGACAAGGAAACAGAAACTAAGTGGGCAATTAAAAAAGTGAACAAAGAAAAGGTAAGTCTTGTTAGCAGCATCGTACTCTTTCTCTCTCTCTCTTTTTTCTCTCTGTCAAATTTTGAGGGCAGGGGGAGTTAGGAGGTTATATAGTGCAGGGCTAAGTGTAGAATCTCACTGCCCATCATTTCTTTTGGTATGTATATACATATAATCGAAACAAAACAACAATAAAACAAAAGAAAAACATTTTATTTTTACAATAACTAACATTTATTAGTTTATGGGACAGATGCTTTATGTCCATTTTCTAATTGATGTCCCTGGAAAGGAGATTTCATTTTTATCATGCTAATAACATCAAAGGATCAACATAATTTTGAAGGAAATACGAAAAAGCATATTAAAATTTTCAATAATGCTGTGAGGTGATAGAGACCTTTTGTAGCTAATTTATAGAAACAGTCCAAGAAACAGATGTAGTTTGAGGCCAAATTACGTATCACTTAAAATTGGACAAAGGAAAGGGGCATGCTTTAATCTTATTATGCAAATAAGTTGCATTCTATCTTTTGAAAAAGAAACTTTTTAAGGAAACAGGAAAAAACATAAAATAACTGTAACTTTATATTGAGGTAAGCAGTAATGAAATTCATATGTGAAATCTATGTCTCCTCGTTATTTAAGGCTGGAAGGTCTGCCGTGAAGTTACTTGAACAGGAAGTGAACATCCTAAAAAGTGTGAAGCACCAACACATCATACATCTGGAACAAGTATTTGAGACACCTAAGGTAAAGCTTTATGAGATGCTGCATTTTGAAAATTGTTATTAATACAAAATGAACATCATTCCTTTGAGAAGTAATCTCTTTAGGACACAGACTCATGCCAAGGACATAAGCAACTATCACTGGAGAATGATGAGAGCATTCTGGAGGACTTTTTATTCTTTTTTTTGGGGGGGGGTAAATTTTTTTTAACGTTTTTTATTGATTTATAATCATTTTACAATGTTGTGTCAAATTCCAGTGTTCAGCACAATTTTTCAGTCATTCATGGACATATACACACTCATTGTCACATTTTTTTCTCTGTGAGTTATCATAACATTTTGTGTATATTTACCTGTGCTATACAGTGTAATCTTGTTTATCTATTCTACAATTTTGAAATCCCAGTCTATCCCTTCCCACCCTCTACCCCCCTGGTAACCACAAGTCTGTATTCTCTGTCCATGAGTCTATTTCTGTCCTGTATTTATGCTTTGTTTTTGTTTGTTTGTTTGTTTTTGTTTGTGTTTTTTAGATTCCACATATGAGCGATCTCATATGGTATTTTTCTTTCTCTTTCTGGCTTACTTCACTTAG